TGTGCAGGTTTCAACGTTTTACGTAAGGATCGCGAGCGAGATAATGGTGGAGGCCTAGCCTTCATATTGCACAACACCGTGCAATATCGTCTAATCGATGTTGACATCGACCGCAGGGACACTACCCTAGAATGTCAGGGAATAGCTGTCCGGTCAGGCGATGTCGAGCTCGAAATATTTAATATATACATCCCCCCAGTTACATGTTGCCCAACAGGATATCACCCGAATATAGATGCGCTACTTCGTGGTGAAAACCGTCTGGTGCTAGGCGACTTTAACGCGCATCACGATCTTTGGCATTCCTGCCTGTCAAACGATCGTAGGGGGATGGAGCTGGCGGAACAGATAGACGATTCGACATTCTGCACAATGAATGACGAAGCCCCCACCAGAATTATGGGCACCTGTAATAGCTCGCCAGATATTACCATCGCTAGCGGTGGTCTGATAAATAGTATAACCTGGCGACCTATGCTAACTCTTGCATCAGACCATCTGCCCATAATTATCTCGATCGAGAAACCTCCTGACTTTATTTCTGTGGATAACCGCACCTATGTTAACTTTAACAAAGCTAACTGGGTCGGCTTCACAGAATTTACTGAGAGCACCTTCAACGCACTATCCATTCCTACGGACGTCATCGTTGGCGAGCGTCAATTCCGCAAGGTGATCGCTGCTGCTACAGCTCGCTTCATACCGGCTGGAAGAATAGCGGAACTCCGCCCTAATTTCCCAGCCGAAGCAGCTGTATTAGCAAATGAGCGCGACACCTTACGCCATGCCGATCCCTGTGATCCCCGAATAAGGGATCTCAATTTGGAGATTCGGCAAATGGTAAACCACCATAAGCGGACAAAATGGATAGAGCACCTGAAGTCCTGCAACCTCTCCACCGGTGTGAGTAAGCTTTGGACTACTGTCAAGGCCCTGTCAAATCCGAGGAAACATGACGATCGGGTTGAAATCCAATTCGATGGCCATGCCTCCTCGGACCCGAAGAAGTGCGCGAGCTACTTTAGCCGGCAGTTTATACTGCACCCTTCGACCGACAAGGCCAAACGATGTGTTACCCGACGGTTGCGCAAAATGCCAAAAGACTGCGCACCACTTACTTTCACCGATGAAGAGGTTCAGAATGTCATCAAAAAGGCGAAATCATCCAAATCCATCGGCCCTGACGGAATAAACATGCTGATGTTAAAACATCTAGGCCCAACGGGAGTAAACTACCTCACCAAGGTCCTCAACCTGTCGATATCCACTCTTCAAATACCCGATGTGTGGAAAGTCGGAAGAGTGGTCCCACTACTGAAACCTGGGAAACCCGCCAACAAAGGAGAGTCTTATCGCCCGATAACTCTCCTTTCCCCAGTAGTGAAGACACTTGAGGCCTTGTTACTCCCGTCATTCACCCACCACCTGAGCCTAGCAGATCATCAGCATGGTTTCCCTAAAGTGCACAGTACCACCACAGCACTTAGCGTCATAAACGCCCAGATAGTTCATGGCCTGAACCAGAAGCCACCCTGCGAGAGGACGATCCTCGTAGCGTTGGACTTGTCAAAAGCTGTTGACACAGTCAATCACGCAACGCTACTTGAGGACCTGGAACAATCAACGCTCCCTCCAGGGTTGAAGCGGTGGACCATGAACTACCTGAGCGGTCGACACTCATCCGTACTATTTCGAGGTCAAAACTCCAAACTCAGAAAAATTAAACAGGGGGTTCCGCAGGGCGGTGTCCTCTCCCCGCTACTGTTTAATTTCTACATTTCGAAACTCCCCCAGCCACCAGCGGGAATTTCAATGACCTCGTACGCAGATGACTGTACGATATTGACGTCGGGCAATGGAATCGATGGCATGTGTTCAAAAGTAAACGGCTACCTCTCCGATCTTTCTCGCTTCTTTTCTGCAAGGAACTTAACACTCTCCCCCACTAAATCCACAGCGACCATCTTCACCAATTGGACGAAGGAGTACAGACTGGACCTGAACATTTCAGTCGATGGCACAAAAATTCCGACAGTAAATAACCCTAAAATTTTAGGCGTCACTTTGGACAGTCTGTGCTCTTTCACTCCTCACACGACCGCGATAACTGCCAAAGTACAGAGCCGCAACAAAATCCTCAAGTCGCTTGCCGGCAGCTCATGGGGAAAGGACAAAGAAACGTTGTTGGCAACATACAAGGCAATCGGCCGGCCGGTCCTGAATTATGCAGCCGCAATATGGTCGCCTGGATGTAGTGACACGCAGAATAAGAAGCTCCAGACTTGTCAGAACACTGCACTCCGGACTATCACGGGGTGCCTCTTGATGTCCCCAATCGAACACCTACACAGTGAGGCCCGTATGCTTCCGGTTAAGGAACATAATGAGGTCCTCTCCAGGCAGTTTCTGCTGGGATGTTTTCGCAGAAACCACCCCTGCAGACGCCTGCTTGCAGCGGAGCAGCCTCCTAGGAACATCAAGAGGTCCTTCCTTGACTACGTCGACGACATCAGACAGCACGTCGACCAGACTTCGGACGCAACTAACTTCAGACAAGCACTGACCGCCATTCACAGTGGAGCCATTAACACCTTCACCGACTCCCTTTCAGTGAATGGCGTAATACGAGTCAAACCACCACCCATTGCAGACACAGAGCTCGAGTTGCCTCGCGAATCTAGAGTGACCCTCGCGCAACTTCGTTCTGGATACTGTAGCAGGTTAAACTCCTACCTATCCAGAATAGACCCCGACATACTAAACACATGTCCTGCATGCAATGAGTCTCCGCATGACACTAACCACCTCTTTGCATGCCCTACAAACCCCACTCATCTAACACCCCTTTCCCTATGGTCCGACCCCGTCGAAACAGCTCGTTTCCTGGGCCTTCCGTTAGATGACCTCGACGACAACGAATCTAGGATTTATCACCCAAACGGGGATTAGATAATCGTTATAACAACAACAACAACATTAAAGGGGTCCGCAAAACAAGAGCCGGGGCGCTACCATTAGAGCTGGAGAAGGGACAGACTGCAAAAGTCAATTTCTATGAGGCACTTAAGCACACCCTTTAAAAATCCGCAACTGTGGCCAACCTTAAACTAAAGACTACTAGAGACGTTAGAGATCTCGATTCACTTACAACAAAAAAGGAAGTCGCAGAGGCTGTAAAAGAAGTGTTATAGGACCCCATCGAAGACTTGACGACGGCACATAACACAAGAGAGCAGGTAAGGGCGTATATAACGCTTCTTCAGGATATATCTGACACACTGATGCGAAAGACTCGCATTCAAGTTGCCTGGGTTAACTGCAGGTTGCGACTTAAAGAAAACGCCAAAAGTTGCTACCGCTGCTTTGGACCAGGGCACTTGACCTGGAATTGCAAAGGTCCGACAGGAAAGGGCAAGGTACTTGCATAAAATGCGGCCAACCAAGTTAAAAGAGTGCACAAAACCCTTCAAATGCTGCCTCTGCGAAGAGATCAAGCACGAAAAAGTGGACCATATCCCGGGCTCCGGAAAATGTATGACATATATAGGAACTATCACAATAAATGAATATTCTACAGGCCAATACGCAGGTTGCTGACGCTGTACTCTCGCAAACGGCAAGTCATCGATGACAGTAAAAAAAGAAAATAAGAGGAACTACGCGAGGATGTTAACAAAAACCCCTGGGGACTTTGGTACAAAATAGTAATGAAAAAACTCGGAGTTCGAGCAAAGCCACCTGACTTGACCGCTGCCAAAATGGATCACAACAATCCACGCTCCCTCCAGGGCTGAAGCGGTGGACTATGAACTACCTGAGCATATAGATCTCTCCGATCTTTCTTGCTTCTTCTCTGCAAGGAGCCTAACACTCTCCCCCTCAAATCCCAAGCGACCAATTTTTCAAACTGGACGAAGGAGTACAGACTGGATCTAAAAATTTCAGTCGGGCAACAACTCTAAAATTTTAGATGTTACATTCGAAACTTTTGGAATCCATCAGTTACCAAACTTCAAATGTCTATCTACAAAAAGTAGAACAGAGATAAGTAGTATCATTGAGGGCACCAAATAGTTTGAACACAACAATGGAATGTGAGATTAAGATATCTTTCGATAGTGTATCAAAATTTCTTTTGTGTTTGTTTATGTTTATATATTTTGTCTCGGCATTGTCGACGATAAACATGTTTAAGGATATTTGAACATATTGCCGAGGTAATTATTTAAAATTAGTGGATTGTATGATGGTTAGGATTAACACTTAAACTAATAAATATTATTTATTCTGCGGCGCACCAACTAAGTGGCGCCCCTTGGCACCAACGTAAATATTTATATTTGAACAGTATTTATAAATTAATATTATACCAAATGAAATTGTAAGCCGTTCCGGCATCGTTGAATAACGAATATTTTATCTATTGACAACATTTTTACACCCTGAACATAATATATTATATTAAGTTTCTTTCAAACTGACCGACCAAAATCAAGGTAAAGATCTTCATAAACAGGTCTTAATTCGACTTAAAGATTATTTATATCAAACAACGTGGCTAGAAGGAACCAGTAAAACGTTTTCCGTTGGCCGTCCAGATGTAGTTATACATGCCATATATGTAGTTGCTAAAAGAAATGCGCCTGTGAATGGTATTACAGCTTCGGTGCAACCGAGGTTCACGTTTTTTCTTGTTTAATATAAAGTTTTGCCAACGTCTGAAAATATTCCCCCACCTTGCATTATTGCAAATGGCGAGAGTATAAAATGTTCGTCTGCATCCGAACTTATCTCCACCTTACTTGTTTTTATATATTTTGTAAATTTAACTTTATTATATTCTTTCAGATAAGCCAAGCGAATATACCTATGCAGGATTTGAAGGAAATACAAATAGCTCAACATGTTTTGATACAAAGAAGTCCAACGATTATGTATACCTCTCCACCTACCCCTTCCGCGTCCTTTGCTACTGGTCCTCCAATTATATCACAAATACCTGTTATATTTGAACCAACTGTAAACGCTTCGTGCAATTTAGCCAAAGTGGGAAACACTTTATCAGTTGAGAATAAAGTGCCAATTACTCGAATCCAACCAAAAAAAAAAGAAGTCAAAAGGTCTGCTCATAATGCTATAGAGCGCCGTTATCGTACTTCAATAAATGACAAAATTTCAGAATTAAAAAATCTTATAATAGGAGAATCTGCAAAACTCAACAAATCTGCAGTTTTGCGCAAGTCAATTGATAAAATACGTGATCTTCAAAAGCAAAATTCTGAGATGCGTGACGAGATACTGAGACTTCAAAACGAGCTTGTAAATCGAAGCAGTTGCAATGTTAAAAATCTACTCCACTCAACCAAAATAAATAAAGTTGATAATAGAAATAAGGCATTAATAACAAATGAGTTCTCACAAAAACAAAGGATTATTACGCCTCCATGTAGTGACGAGTCAAATGCCTCACAATCTCCAACACACTCTGATATTTCTTTACCGTGTTCCCCAGTCAACGGGTCTGTTAAACGCTTTAATTCATATAAAATGAAAAATGTTTCAACTGCTATTCGTGATATGTCTCAATCACGATTAACGTTATGCATATTTATGTTGGCTTTTATCACAATAAATCCATTTAAGATATTTTTATTCCGACCTACTGAGACTATTGGCACTCTCGGAAATTATAAAAGTATTGATGATACTCATCAGCGCCGTATTCTAAATTTCAACGATGATAGTAAGTATATGACAGTTAGTTATTAATTAGATTAAGCATTTTTTTTTTAATTTGATTACTTTTTCGGAGGGTCACTGATTCAAGAACTATAGTTCTAAAAATTTAATTATGTCTTTAATTGAACATGAAAAATATAATTCTAGAGTTTTGAAATAGCAATATTATGGAAGCGAACATTCCTCTTAATAATAACATTGGATTATTGTACTGCTATGTACCATATAGGTTATACGTACATACATACATATATATTTATATTTTAAGCCATTTTCATTCATTATTTTGTTTTATGAATTTTTTAATATTATCAATTTTATTTCGCTGCTATTTGATTCTAGTAAATAAATCCAATAGATGGCTTTAGTATTCTGCATATTGCTTTGGGTTACGCTATAAGATAAGCTATTATACTAAAAAAACTTCTCAGTTTTGTGATTGCTTGACTCAGTACTGTTGAAGAACACACCAGCAGATTTTTTCTCGCTATATTTTACAATTTTTGGCGAGAGTGCAAGCCAGGCATCTAAAAATGTGAATCGTTTTTAGGGTCCTGATGCTGTGATAATTTTAATATCAAACCACGCTATGTCAGTTGTCGACAATATCGAAAAAATAATGTAAATCGGCGAGTCCAATTAGTGTAAGCATTATTTCGATTGCCCAGGAGCTAAACAGGTTGAAACCATTGAAAGAAGGCTGGATACAATTAAAAGAATGTATGGGTGCTACTCTCATTCTGAAGCGGATGGTTCCTGGTGATGAATCAATTACGACAATATCAATTAAAAACTGTTGGATCGTGGCTCATCTACACATAAGGTCTACAATAAGAAAGAAATTGTGTTCCACCACGTCGCATACATCGATAGTCGCTTGCCAGAAGTTCCTTATGCATCCATATAATCCAGACTTGGCACCAATGATTACTACCTGATCTTGTCTATGGCGAATGATTTCGCGGGTAAATGAGTCGGCTCAAGAGAATCTTTTTTGCAACAACTCATAAAACAAAACGGCGCATATTCGACCCAAATTGGATTATTCTAACTATGCTAAATAAAATCATTAGTTTCATGTGAAAATAATGGCTTTCTTTTTACCTATTAGACCTATTATATAGATTTTAGTTCGGAAACTATAGCTCCTATTACTGTTTTGAACATAATTGCATTTCAGTTGAAGTTTTGAAATTCATCATCGATATCAACTCAATCCGTTAAATGAAAGTATTGAAGAAACTCAACTTGTTTGTTATATTACTGTTAACAACTGTGGTAGTGCGATTGACCAGAATATCAAAAAACAAATTGTACATTAGTGTAGATTATTCCACGAAAATATTAATAGAAAATGGTAAGCGGATAAATAAGATATTTACAATATTTTTAAACTATTTTTGATCAGTTATTTTCTGCAAATCTATATACGTAGCTATAGTAGTCCGATTTAAGAAACCTTGTTAAATTAAAAAGTTTTCCTTACAAGAACTTATTTTTGTTAGTGTGGATGGCAGCTATATACTTTAGTGGTTCGACATCGGCGGTTCTGACAAAGGAGCAGCTTCTTGGGGGAAAAAAATGTGTGCAAAACAAGGTTACAACAAATTGGAAAATATGTTGAACATAAAGAGAACAAAAAGTCGAAATTGGCAATACTTCAACGAAATTTTTTTTGGCAGATTGATTTGATATTGATATTCACAAATTTCAGAACATCAACCCAAATGGAGTTGCGTTGGAAACCGTAATAGGCGCTTTGAATTGTTTTTGTACAAATTTCATATATTTTCAACATTAAACTAAAGAAGACTCAGTATTATACATTCAGTTAATTTTGCTAATATATCTCATTTATTTACCGATATATACAGTATAAAGCCAAACGGAAGTTTGAAAATCGTATATGGGAGAAAGGGGCAGTATTAATTAACCCCATTATATCTATTTTTGACATTAGTACATATTGCTTGCAAAAACAGATACTCTCTGAGTTTCATTGAGTTATCTCACATACCATCAATAATATATATGGAGTAAAGTCAACCGGGTGTTTGAAAATCTTGATATAAGTTATATGGGAGATTGCGCGAGTTTTCACCCGATTTTATCCATTTTAGGCACAAAGATAGTTAGGGGAAAAACACACTCCTCTCTCAATTTGATTAATATAACTGACACATTTGCCGATATATGCGGAATAAAGTCAGCCGATAGTTTGAAAATTTTTCTATTAGGTACATGGGGGCTAAGGGAATTATTGATCCGATTCAACACATTTTTACATACAGGCATACTATTATCAGAAAAGAATTCTTTCCGAATTTCTATAAGAGATCTCACAGATTGTCCGGTGTTTTCAGTAAAAAGTTCGCAATATTCGGTACAGGGGGCTTGAGCACTTTTAGTAGGATTTTGATTCGACACCGCCGAGCCACGCCCGCTTAGTAATTTTCAGCCCACAGATGCCCCTTTCCACCACGATGCTTTGTACAAAATAACGGGTTTGTATCTGAATTTGGAGATTACTTATAATCTTTTATATGTTTTCGCGTAACGGCATTTTGTGAGCGCGGCATGAACTGTTTCCACCTATCTGGAATACCAACCCAAATTAGGTTCAAAGAGGGCACACGTGTACTAAGTTTAATCAAGATCTCAATTTTTTTCTCAAGTTATCGCTTGCATGGGCGGACAGGCAGACAGCCACCCGGATTTTAACTCCTCTCGGCATCCTGATCACTTATATATATATTGACCCTATATCATTAGTTTTACGTTGTACAAACAACCGTTAGGTAAGCAATACTGTTATAGTTTGTAGCAACATGTTGCAAGAGTGTTAAAAAAAGAAATGGGACGACCGGTCTGCTCCTAAAATCTAAATCTATATTAACAAAACTTGCAGAAAACTACATTCCTGAACTTGATTATACATTGTGGAAATGGGGAAATCAGATAATAACTACGGTGAAATAAACTAGAACCTTACAACTTTGTAGAACGAAATATACCTTAACGAACTAACTTTTACTATAATGTGCCCGATTTGCCAAGAAAGGATAATGGAATTATCGAATCTCCAAACTTTTACAATTATTCGGTTGTTGCACGTGCTGTGTGACAAGTAGCCCAGTCTTGTTGGATGTTGTCAAGATCAACTTTTTCCAATTGCGGCCATAAAAAGTTGGTTATCATTGATCTATACCCCTCTCCATTGACAGTAACGGCGTCACCAGCTTCATTTCGAAAGAAGTATGGATCGATAGTTCCACCAGAGCAAAAACCACACCAAGTTGTCAATTTAGGTGAATGTAATGGTTGTTCATGAATAATTTGTCGATTTTCTTCGCACCATATTTGACAGTTTATTTAACGCACCACTCAGATGAAAGTGAGCTTCATCGGAGAAGCTGGATTTTTAAAAAAATCGTTATCGTTTTCAAGTTCTAAGGCAAAATCAGCAAATTCACGACGTTTACGGTGGTCTAATGGCTTTAGTTCTTGAGTGAGAACAATTTTATACGAATGCAATTCCAAATCCTAAACGTTGTTTTTGCGTATATATTTCTACAATTAAATTGTAAACAGTACTGAATACAATGAATAAAAATTACAGACATTAAATATGGCTGAAACGACACTTAGAAATCAAATCATTCCTATTGGAAAACCAGATACATATAATGATTGTCGGTATTCAAGTGGACTATATGCCGAGTATATCGGCATACTTTAGTTTAATGCCAAATGACAATGATCTAGACACCATATAACGGGTGTTATATTCGAGGTATAGAACTTTAAGTTGGCATTACTGTTCAAGGTGGCGACCGATTTAACAGCTGTCAATTGATTTATTCTCAGTTTGGTTTGGCAATTCATCATGAATAGCAGGGATAATGGGATGCCCAACTCTTTCCAGTGTGAGAGCGCCTCAAGCGTTTTTTATAACATTTTCCATTGTAGCCAGATCGGACACAATAATAATTTTTGGGAATTTAAATTAAAATATCCAACATTTATTAAGATTAAATATTATTATACATGTATCCGTTAAACATATGCAGCAATTATATAAACCCTTTTTTTGGTATTTTGTAATATATTACAACAATTGATTTTTTAACTTTTAATACTTTATCAAAATATTAACTCTCAATTAATAAATGATTTTTATAATTTTCAATCGAAAATTAATACAACTAAGCATGGCATTACAAAAGAATTCATCACAGACATTTCAATTTCGCGTTTTCTTTTACTTTCATTGTTTTCCAATTTTTGTTAGTGATCTTCAATAGCAGCAACAAAACTCTCTGTTCACATATTTTTCTGTAGGTTTTCAATCTGGCCGTCCCTATTTTTCCAATTGCTAAACGTCAGGCAACTGTCAAAGTTCAGGAGGTTTTGACGTTTAGCTGTTGCGCTTTCGATTCCAGTGAGAGATGAACTGGACATCTCTTTATCTCTGATGAATAGACTCACGCCTGAACAACGCTTGCAAATAGTGCAATTTTATTTCGAAAACAAGTAAGCAAGCGCTAAGTTCGGATGTAACCAAACAATTTTATACTCTCGCAAAGTCAACTCGTTTTAGATTTCTTTGTGGATCTTACCGCCTTGTTCTTTGTTGACCGATATTTTCGGTAAAGAGTCAACTATAGTCACTGGGGTCCATATATTCAGTACCCCCCTAATTTTTGGTCACAAGGTGGCATACTTTAAACGTATTATTCACGCAAAGTTTTACGCCGATATAATAATTGTTGCTTGATTTGCATACTGGAAAGTGCAAACATCAGATGGAATTTAAAAAGCTGTTATATGGGAAATAGGCGTGGTTGTAATCCGATTTCCCCCATTTTATAACTGTAAGATAAAAATAGGAGAAGAACATTATGTACCGAATTTGGTTTAATTCGGTTAAGCAGATCCCAAGATATGGGTTTGCACTTAAAAGTGGGCGGTGCCACGCCCACTATTTAATTTTGAACGTGGTTCCTATAAAGTCATCTCATATCATCGCAGAGCTAAAATTTAATACCCCTGACATGTTTAGTGCTTGATTTATCGCGATTTTAGTAATTTTTACCAGTACCGTTATATGGGGAGTGGATGGGGTTGTCACCCAATTTCACCCATTTTCACACCGTCGTTAGAGATGCTAAAAACATTTGTTCCCAGTGAACTTTGTTATTATAGCTTTAGTGGTATAGGAGATATGCACATTAAGCTTATTAGAAGGTGGGACCACGCCCACTTAAAAAAAAAAAATTTAACTGCAGATGACCCTCTCTAATCTGATCCTGTATACCAAATAAGAGTCTTGTATCTTATTGTGGAGCTTAATTATGGCAATTTATTTGTTTTTGATTAATGGCGTTTTGTGGGCGTAGCAGTGATCCGATTACGCCCATTTGCAATACCAACCGTCTTACGGTACCAAGAAATATGTGCACCAAGTTTCATAAAGATATCTCACTTTTTACTCAAGTTACAGCTTGCACGGGCGGACGGACGGACAGACAGTCACTCGGATTTCAACTCGTCTCATCATCCTAATCATTTATATATACATAACCCTATATCTAACTCGATTAGTTTTAGGTGATACAAACAACCGTTAGGTGAACAAAACTATTATACTCTGTAGCAACAAGTTGCGAGAGTTTAATAATGGTTCTGTGCGGAATACGTATCGCGCACTACATTCATTTTATCGTCGAGCGCACTTCCAGTTGAATGGCTACGTCAACAAACAAAACTGTATGTCGAAACACCGTTACATCCAGAAAAACTGACTGTTTGATGTGCTTTATGGGCTGGAGGAACATCAGCCAATGGTGATCGGTGACCATGATTACTAACTTTTTCATTCCTGAATTGAACAACCATGATGTCCAGGAGCTGTAGTTCCAACAATTCGGCGCAACATGTCACACAGCTCGTGCCACAATCGATTTATTGAAAGACACGTTTGATGACCGCCTAATTTCACGTTTTGGTACTGTGATTTGGCCTCCAAGATCTTGTGATTTAACACCGCTATACTACTTTCTGTGGGGTTCGCCGTGTTATTGCCGATATACGTCCACAAATGTTGGAAAACTCATCGAAAATTGGACTTCCAGATTGGACTACTTCCGAGCCAGCCGTGGTGCTCATGTGCCAGAAATCATATTTAAAATGTAATGCCACAAGATTATCTTTCGGATAAATAAAATTCAAGTTAATCGAATAATCCATCGTTGTTTGATTATTATTTAAAGCTCTATACCTCAAAAAAAAAACACTACATTATGTGTAATCGCATATAAATAGCCGGTCATGAGAATTATATATATTTCTTTTGAATAATAACATATCTTGTAGTTTATAATGTTTACTATAATATAATTTATTTCTTATTTTTTACGCAGATTCAAATAATGATTTTATTTGGAAAACCTTTTGGAGCCCTTTATTCCTCTGGATTATTAACTTGATGGTCATGTTGGTCTGCTTCGTAAAATTGATTAGTTATGTGGATCCATTAGGAAATACGACTTCTGTGGAATTCAAAATGCGAAAGGAATGTGGAGATAAACTTTTTAAAAAGGTAGAATATGGAAATAAATAGTTTATATACATTTTGATCAAATTTGACCCGGACAAATAACTACGTTTTCGCTAATTTTATTAAGCCTTTTTATCACCTTCAAAGTAGGATCCTGAGCCAATACAAATATACCATCGCTGAGTCAAATTTTCCATACACTTATTATAAGCTTCGGCTGGAATGACCTTCAGTAACTTTAGCGAATTTTGGTTTTTTCGGTTTCAGCTCATTTTTAAAGTCTTTTCGCTAGATTGTTGAACAGTTTCGACGTCAAACCCATGTCTTGTCACCAGCAATGATGCGTTTGATGAATGTAGGGTCCTCAGCTACGCTGTCAAACATCGCTTTTCGATATCTACATTTGTTGAGTTGATCGGTAAAAGATGTTGAGATTCTCTGCTATATCTCTGATGCCACGACGATTTTCAAGCATTTTTTTCAATATTATCGTCATTAAGATGCATGGACGACTCGCGTGAGGCAAGTTTTCGATGGCCTGAACTGAATTATTTGTGCCACGTAAATGCTTGTATTCGTGCAGACGCCTTCTGCAACATTTTCAATGATTCCGCAGACCTGATTCCATTTTATACACAAAATTTTAAGCAAACTCGTTTAATTTTTCATGGTAAAAAGGCAAACTGTACACATACTAAATGACAATCTTAAAAAAAAATTATATATTCGGTTTGTGCGCGTAGTTTAAATAGACTAGTCCGGGTCAAATTTGATCATATGGTAATAACATTCTTAAACTTAGGGCTATATGGACGATGCTTATTTGGAGTACATGTCTTGCTTTAAAAGTCTTGGAGTAACGTTGCCGACGACCACTTTTGACTTTATTATCTTGACAACCTGGCAATTTATCCGCATATTTATTTGTTATCTAAAGATTAACTACAAATATAAAAAATATGTTTCAATATTACGCAAAAATGAACACAGTCATTCAAATAGTACAACGGCGAAGAACTTGGCCATTTTCTTCAACAGGCTAAATCAGTTGCATTTAACAACTGAAAGCAATCCCCAACATGGTCTGACGTTATCATTATATGCATTAGATATGGCCCAGTTATCTCACGATACCCTCACAAATGAAGAGTTGGTTGATATATACTTAATAACGGCTTTACTGGTAAAACAAAACTATCCCAGATCATTGAAGTTATTTGTACGATATTGTATTAAAAAGGGGAAACAAGAATGGTTTAAGTCTGCGCGAAAATCGAGTCAATATAAGTGGATATTTACTCCATTCGGAACGCAATTTGTAATTGATCATGAATTTGATTTAAACAACAACTTGCAATCAAATAATATGTTTATACAATTGTCGAACAGTGCGAATCCTCTAACGTATTTATTAAAGGTATAACATTAAAATTATATGACTTCCATTTCTGGTTTATTTTTATTTTTCTACCATTTACAGCATTATCAAGAATATTTGATTCATCAAGCTATTCGATGTCTGGTTGGATCCATCCAAATTTCTAATAAAAATAGAACAAATCTTAAGGCATATGATATAGGAGATAATACTGTGGCTAGTAATGCATTGACTTTTGTTTCTTTACTGCGGGATTCCTTTTCCTCTGACTACAGTAATGAAAATATTGAGTGGTGGGTTAACATCCTTGAAGTTTCTGTTTATTGGCTATTGGGCGAAGATACAAAAGCCGAAACATCATATCAACGTGCGAAAGTTTTACCGAAGGAACTAGAGACAAGTAATGACAAACTACCACAGGCTTTACACTTAGCATTGGAAGCAAAATTTTTATCACTGCAGTAAGTAAAGAGAAGAATACTGAAGGAATACTTGTATATGTAAAATTTTTATAAAATTTATACTGAATGGCTAATATGTGATTAAATATTACCAAATTAAGTCAAACAGTCAGAAAGGTTGCGCGGAAGACTTAATAAGTGTGTTGAACGCTCACTTACTATAACCCAAGAATTAGGTTATAGAAAATAAATCATTCATTATTTATCATAAGAGTGGTCTGCGAGACTAAGCTCCTCAGAAAACCTATACTCATGTCATATGGTGAGTGTAAAATCCTCCACGAAGACTTCTTAACAAGTAAAAAAGTACCAAATACGAACATAGCTTCGAAGAAAAATCTATGATTTCTGAAAATTTAAAACTACATAAATCAATTGCACCTACTTCACATCGGAGTAAAGTTGCCAGAAATGCAAATTCAGGAGGCAAGTAAAAGCATCCATCTCAAGGTGCCCGCATGTGACAGTGGTTATGAACAATGGCCGTCCTTCCGGGACATGTTTAAAGCCGTTTACATAAGCCCATCCGCAATTATCTCATGCACATAAATTGTATCACCTCCGATACACAACTAAAGGTCAAGCATGCATAATTATTTTCCCTTTTTTTTAATATTATATATACAGTCGTATATGTATTTAATTTAAACAATTCAGAATATCAAATATATACATATATATGTAAACAGTAAAATTTTTATTCAAAAACTCCGAAAAATTAGCCGTTGGGTACCTCATCTCCCTTGACGTCTTTAAACACAAAGACAAGCGTTCTTGCCGTGGACAGCATAACTCATTATTGGTTCATCTTAAATAAAAATAATAAAAAAATATTTAGTTCATACATGGATAAAACTCGTTAATGGATTAAGGAAAAACAATTTAAATTTGAATTTTGAACAAAAAAAAATTCTTTGGTCGAATTTCCGCCATGTATTTGCTCGAAAAAATTAGTTTAATAAAAAATTCTTTCGTTCAGTGATTAGATAATGTTATTTCTAACGGTTGTTTGTTTCACCTAAAACTAATCGAGTTAGATATAGGGTTATCTATATATAAATGATCAGTCTGTCCGTCCGCCCGTCCGTCCGTGCAAGCCGTAACTTAAGTAAAAATTGCGATATCTTTATGAAACTTGGTACACATGTTTCTTGGTACCGTAAGACGACTGGTATTGCAGATGGGCGTAATCGGACCACTTCCACGCCCACAAAACACCATTAATCAAAAACAAATAAATTGCCATACCTATGCTACACAATAAGATACAAGACTGTTATTTGATACACAGGATCACATTAGGAAGAGGCCTCTGTGTTTTTTTTAATAAGTGGGCGTGGTCCCGCCCCCTAATAGGTCTAATGTGCATATCTCCTAAAGCTATAATAACTAAATTCCCTGGGAACAAATCCTTTTGCACCTCTATGTGAAAATGGGTGAAATCGAGTGACAACGGCGCCCACTCCTAATATTACGGTACTGTTAAAAACTACTAAAAGCGCGATAAATCAAGCACTAAACACGCCAGATACATTAAATTTAACTCTGGGATGGTATGAGATGACTTTATAGGAACGGACTTCAAAATTAGACAGTGGGAGTGGCACCGCCCACTTTTAGGTGAAAACTATATCTTGGGATCTGCTTAACCGATTTTAATTAAATTTGGTACATAACAATCTTCTCATATTTCTATGTTATAGTGCGAAAATGGGCGAAATCGGATTACAACCACGCCTATTTCCCATATAACACCATTTTCAATTCCATCTCATTCTTTCACTTTCCCAATGCAAATCAAGCAACAATGATTGTATCGGGATAAAACTTCTAAAAATTGTTTAAATCGAACCAAAACTGTTCAAGCCGCTAGGTACTGAATATGTGGACCCCAGTGCCTATATAACTTTTTACCGAAAATATCGGTCAATGTGAAGAATATATATTTTATATGATAAAATAAATAAATGAAACCTTCGATAATAGTATGTTTTGTGTCAAAAATGGGTTGAATCGGTTCAATACTTCCTTTAATATAAAATTTTGACAACACCTAAAGTAATTTCCCGGCTTTGATCCTTGCAAGTTGCGAGAGTATAAAATGTTCGGTTATCCTTACTTGTTTCTACTTAGTTCGTTTAATTAAATTTTAAAACGTTTATACAGTAGTTTTCCTAAAAACAAATCCAAATCTTTCTAGTCACACTAGCTGTGCAGCTAAACCTATCTGTTAGCATTAAATTTTCTGATCTATCATCATCGTACGCTCTAGTAAGTAATCATCACAATTTAAGGAATTTTGACAGATGTACATGTTGAGTTAAAAAAAAACCTGATATCGTGCGAAAAAAGAATCTGCATAAATGGCCAATGTCAATTAATCGGTCAGAATCTACCATATTGCTTACAAATGTATTTATACAATACATCAAACAAAATGCTAAATGGAATTCAGGTGAATTGTAAAATATTGGGAGTTTATTATGCTGTAACACATATATTTCTTACTTAGGTTAAAAGATAATTTTATAGTTATTGAGTGGGTAGGAAAAAATAAGAACCATGTTATTGCAGCTTTCACGTATCAAATATTCACTGAAATATGTTTAATAAACTCACTGTTCGCATTCTGAAACAACAATAACATCATCAGTGAAATAACACAATATTGTTTTTTAGTAATATTTCGTTATATTGGGCTTAAATTGTAGTGTTGTATACAAATAATACAATATTCTTTATTTTGCAGGTATAGTGGAGGCTTTTACAAACGTGATTCACAGTGTATTATAGATGTCTGCAATCGATCGAGTAACTGTCTTCAAGAATCTTTAACATTTAATAAAATTACAACTGTGAAAAAAATTAAATTGGTAAGTTTTTTTACAGCTTTTTGAATTGTTATATCTCGGAAGCGGTAGGTCTTAGGAACAATTGTTTTTATTAGGAAATTTTTGTCTAAAATGTTTGACATCTGACCTCGATGAGGAGTTTTAGTATGTTATTTTTAATCATGTCTTGAACATATTCACTAACTTTCAGCTTGTTGTAAATTAATATAACTTCACATGTATATTCTGTGATATAATTTTAAAACAACCACTTGATATAGTGCTTTTTTATAAAACAAGTTAATAGAGCTAAGATTAAATATCTTATCCGATCAAATTAGACAGAATATACATGTGAAGTTATATTAATTTACAACAAGCTTTTTTTTTATATTCTTTTAAAAACGATTATATAATTTACAAGATTTTTCCTTCATTTCATTCATTTCAAAGTGAAAAAATATGCAATACGTTTTGCATAAAGTTTATAGAAAAGCTTACCTATAATTGGTTTCAATATATTTAATTATTTATTCGTTAATAAAGAAATCGTTTCTTGAATCTCAATGTCTGGCGGCGTGCAAGATTATTCTGCTTAAAATTGTTTCAAATCTAAAAACCCAAAAAGTATATTATTAGTAAGGGTAAATATAGGTAATGATCGAAAGACTAATTAAAATTTTGATATAAAAAAAATGACGGCTTCCCCAAAAAAGTCGTTAATTTTTGTGAAAAAATGTGGCTTGAAAAATTGGTATTATGATCAAAAATCTTTTTTTCTATCAACATCTTTCAAATATGTCTAAAAAAGTCGTGTGAAAATTTCATGTCGATCGGTCCATCAGTTGTTTTTTTTGGAGCCGATTTTACTCAGAAAAAATTCTTACAAATACACTCATATCTCCGAAACTTTTTACCGGATCATCTTCAGATATTCGGAGAAAATTCTTAATGTACATTCGTGTATATGCAGATAAAAAAATCGCTGAATGTAATAAGTCGTAGGAAATATGATAAAAAAATATCGAAGTCGAAATAAACAATGATAACTTTCTAAAAACGGAGCGTCTGAAAACGGATTGAAAAAAAAGTGCATTAGAAAAGAGACCAGAATTAAACTTAACTCGAGTTAGACTTAACTCGACTAATAATTTATATTGCCACCTATTTGCATGTGCATATTTGCTCCATTTCACATGTCAACATTTATTGCCATAGTATACCTAACACTTTTGTTCATTCCTGTTTGCATTTCTTTTGCGTAATTCCAATGTGTGTCTATGAAGGCGTTACATCGATTATAGTCATGTTCCCAGTATTCGACACAATTTTTTTCCTTTTATTCCATGAAGGCAAATACTTATTTCCAATGCAGTATGCTTTTCTTATATTATAAATATACATAATCCATATATACATATTATCTTCATCTGTGTGAGTATTAAAAAGAAAACTGTGTATTGCCCTGCCAGCCACGGCTAACCACGTTCCCCAAAAGTTCCAGCACAATTACACATTTTTGAACCAATTTTCCAAACAAACAAAACTTGCTTTCTATTTTCTTGATCTTGATCTTATTGAGTGTGAATGAGTAGACATATTTCTCAATAGTGCCAATAGAAAAATCCCAAAAAGGGAAATTAAAATACAAGTGAAAAATGGGAGTCATTCGTCTTCAAAGGGAAAAGGTAAGTTGACAACATTTTGTGTAATTTATTTAATTAATTTTTTTTATTACATTATACTTTTTCTAACAAAACAATAAACATAAATGACTCGTACTGGATGTCCTATCAATGGATGGATGGATGTGATTGATGGAACACCAATAGATGAATTTTCATTTAAAACTTGCGTATTATACGTTTTGTTTGAAATTTAAAGGAATCCAATCTTTGCTGGGCTACAAATGGGAACCCATATATAATATATATAATAATATTCTAGTGACATATGATGTACGTGATAAAACATTTTCGGTCTCATGTGCTGTGATATGGCTATTAAAATTAACTGCGACATCTTTCTAAGTTAAGTTTGTATATTGTTTTATGTTATATTATATTGCGAATAAAAGCATAATAATAATTTTATGTTCACTTTAGAATTATAACCAATAGTAAAAGTATATAAAATAAAATATGTGTAATAAATAAATAACTTTAACCCTAGGTCAGCTGGCGATAACGGAAATCAGAGCAGTTCCGCTATATGTTTTTTTGTATGACACTGCTGAATGTACGAAGGGATGCATTAAAATATGTATGCGTAAGTGAGAAGAGAAAGTGGTGAAAAGTGTCCCGCTGCCTATTGCGCGTTCACCAGTTTGGAAGGTTTAAAAACCTAGGATTTGACTAGTTTTTTAACCACTTTTAGCTGGCAGACGTAAAAAAGCTGTCATTAAAAATTATATATTTGTAGTACTTATGCACACAATTTTTTATGCTTTGTAATGCACCTTTTTAGGTGTAGTCATCGTTTAAATACGTTATCTCTAATCTAAAACTTAATGCAACTATACTTCGCAGTTAATGTAAAATGGCGAAACGCTCGCCCAAAAAATGTTGTTGATCGAAAAAATATGAAGTATTACGACAGTTAAGCATGTTATGATCAAGATAAGCTACAAAACTTTATGGTACAGAGAATCATAGTAGGTAATAGGTTTAAAGTACATATCTCATACTACAGTGTGAACATGGGTTAAATCGGATTTTGCTATCCACGTCCATCCCCATAGAAATGTTATGTTTAAAACTACTGCGATTGCGATAACTGTCTAAAGACAAACGTCTGATATATTAACCGTGAAGATAATACAGCAGGGGCGCATATTTTCGGATTGGGACACAGGCCGTGACATCGCCCACGAAACCAGGGTACAACCATGCTTATCCCTGGTATAGCATAATATTAAACTCCATTTCTTCCAAATAACAATAGCCAAATCAAGCAACAGCAAATTTATTGGAATGCAACTTTTCACAATAATATAGTGCCTTTAAGTTGCGGCACCTATCATCTAAAAATATTCGAATTCGGAATATAAATTTTCAAGCTTCCAGATACCGAACATAAGGACATCAGGGCTTACTAACTACATATTTTAATGAAATTTAGTTGGTATTTTAGCAATCTGATATGATGATAAAAATAAATATAATTGGTTTACAATTCTTATAGCACCCATATATCAATAATAGCAACTTTCAAGCTTCTGGTTGACTTTATACTGTATATATATTATATATCGGTTTTGATCGGTTAGTTTACAGCCATATGCTATAGTAGTACGATCTGTACTATATGTTCAGAGATTGTAGCATAATCTAAAATAATTATTCATTCCAAGTTTCGTGAAGTTAAATTGTATATTGTCAAATAAAAGCGAAATAAGAATAGCTATGTGCCATTCTGTTGGCGTTATCGACATTTATCGAAAATAAATTCGTATTCGCCATTTTGAAACGAATATGGTAACGACATGGTAACAGTCATTCCTTTTCGTTGTAGTCATTGAAAGCGAGATAGTAACGCGCCCGATTATTTGAAGTGAACATAAAAATTACTAACACGAAGCTGTTTGAAATGCTAGTGTCCGAAATGGAAACAAAATCTTGCGTATGACAAAGGTTTAAGAAAGAGGATAAAACGATTAAATTTCGAGATCTTTTGGACTGATATTTCGAAGAAATTTAATTCATTTGCACCTTCATGTCGGCGGGGGAGACGGTTGCATGAAGTAAATAATATTTTTAATATTGGATTTTTGTATCTATGAAGTTGTTTAAAATTTATGTATGTATGTATATATTTAAGGTATGAAAGGACTTGAAATTCAAAATAAAGAAAAGTTGAACATAATACATCCGAAGCTAGAGCAACATGAGGAGGAGTTATTATTATTATTGCCTTATTTATTAGTTTTGAATTCATAAAATAGTAAAAACAAATTCTGAAAAACAATTATTAACGTCAGAAAAAATTAGATTAATTTAATTTAAAACTTCGATAACTTTTTTTTGACGTTACAATATACTTGGGGTGGGCTTTAGTTTAGCATCCCACGATTTCAGGGTTAAGAGGGGTATGGTTGGATAGAGGAGATTCCAGATCACGAATATATATAATTATTGCCGCCGGAAACTTATAGTTTTCGAGATATTTGCATTTTAAGTTGAAAATTTCACAAAATTCATTTTACAATTTCTCGATTATGGTTATATTTTCTTTTATACTATGCACTTATTATACACAAACTTTTCACTTCAGTGTTTCTACATATTTATTTTATATTAAATATTTAAGTATTTGCTTTAAATAAGCATTTAATTTTTACACAATTTTCGTAATATGAACAATAACAAATGGGTTCCATGTTGTCAGATAATAAGTGTTGCCATATCTATTATATATATATATATATATATATAAATATATATTTTGAAAGCGAATTAAAATGAATAATAAAAGAGGATTATACCCCAAATACATGAACTATTATTTTGTTCATTCCCTTCTATTGATAAATTATGGTATTGGATTGGCCAGGGTTATTTTTTTAAAGCGCGGCCGAAGGCCGCCAGTGCGGAAAGAAGTTTGACGCGATTAAATTATGAACACCCCGGTGTTGGACCAACCAGGGTTATTTTTTTGAAGCGCGGCCGAAGGCCGCCAGTGCAGAAAAGAGTTTGACGCGATTGAATTATCAACACCCCGGTGTTGGACCGACCAGGGTTATTTTTTTGAAGCGCGGCCGAAGGCCGCCAGTGCAGAAAGAAGTTTGACGCGATTGAATTATGAACACCCCGGTGTTGGACCGACCAAGGTTATTTTTTTGAAGCGCGAAGGCCGCCAGTGCAAATAAAAAATCTTTCCAAAAAAAAGCAATGTTAAAGAGAATATATCACTCTCTATAAACTTCAATTTTTATTAAGGATAATTATAATAACAGTGAAGATTTTGAAAATTTGATATATGAATACATATGGCGTAAAAATATAGTAAATCAGCATCATGATCCATTTGTGAAATTATCAGATGCAATAAAACATACGCCATAAAACCTTTTTCTTTTATTAAAATGGAAAATTAAGTTCATAATATTTTGTAGAGGGTGATTGGGTTTTTTATTTATTTTCATTGCTTTCATCCGTTTGGATATGGCAACACTTATTATCTGACAACATGGAACCCATTTGTTATTGTTCATATTACAAAAATTGTTTAAAAATTAAATGCTTATTTAAAGCAAATACTTAAATATTTAATATAAAATAAATATGTAGAAACATTGTAGTGAAGTGTTACTGTGTAATAAGTGCATAATATAAAAGAAAAGATAACCATAAATCGAGAAATTGTAAAATGAAATTTGTGAATATTTCAACTTAAAATGCAAATATCTCGAAAACTATAAGTTTCCGGCGGCAATAATTATATATATTCGAGATCTGGCGAATCTCCTCTATCCAACCATACCCCTCTTAACCCTGAAATCGTGGGAGGCTAAACTAAAGTTTTCCCTATACTTGGATAATACGAATTTAAAAACGTAGTGACGGTAACAACGACAACAACTTGGAAACGACAATTAATACGACAACGGTAATAAGGCCGAGTTTGGCTGATATAGTTTTAGCGGTTAGTCAAATTTCTACATTAAACTTATTAGGATGCGGGGCCACACCCAATATTCAAAAATTGTCAATCTATAGATGTCCCTCTCCACTGTAGTTTTCCGTACAAAATTACATTTTTGTTTTGTTATTTAAATATTAGTTATAGCACTTTATAGAAATTCTATTAACGACATTTTGTGGGCGCGGCATCCATCTGCAATACCAACCTCCGCAAATTGCCAAGGAAGGGTGTCAAGTTTCATCAATATATCTTAATTTCTACTCATATTATCGCTTGTACGGTCGGACGTACAGACAGATAATCCCCTGGAATTCAACGCGTCTCATTCTGATCATTTTGATAAATATAACTCTAAATCTATTTTGATTAGTTTTAGGTATTACAATAATTTGAGTTTTTTTTCAAACGGATATATTATACTTTGACAACATAATTGATTAACTATATCTTCATTTTTATTACAGTTGTTTCAATTACTAACTTGTGATTGGGTCCTCGAAACAAGAACACAGCTATGGGAGACGGAATACGTGAACGCTGATCAAATTCTGTGCAAACAAGTTCCAAGCGATTATTTGGAAAAATTTCAAAAGGATCTTAACTCGATGCGTTATGTCATAGAAGATTTGAATGTAAGTAATATGACAAAATCTGATGTAACATCAACCAATCAAAAGGAAATTACTGGGAGATACAGCGATCTTAAGATAGGAGTCACGAAGGATCGCACTTAGACAGCTTCAAACGTCGAAAAAGCGCTTAGAGCATGTCACAATATTTTTGAGGCGGCTAATATCTACAACCTACCGCATATTTCTTGTATACAATATCTCCTTCCAGACATGGAACTCGGAATTTTCTCCATAACGTACGGGTCCATTAGCTTCTCCATCGTTTTCAAAAAAAGGAGACAGAGGCTTATAGGCTCGAAGGTCTTAGCAATAACATGAGAGCTTTCAGGATCAACGTACTCATAACCTGTTTCTAAGCCTCAGTAATATCCCACAATCTGACAAAACTCACGTAAATGGGGTCCAAACTGCAGCATGCCTTATTTACTATGCCCTGACAAACTTATCAATCGTTCAAGTTAAAACTAGTATGTCTATGATCGGAGAAAAAGCGGTCACTAAGAACCCGCCCACCACTCTATAATCAAGGTTGCAGGGGTAAAGAACCGCCTCCCTACTACATATAAATAAATCTTCGCTACAAATCAAATTAAGAATTGATCTTAAAAGTATGTCTCCAGAATAGCAATCAAATTAAATGATGGTTCTCCTTTTTTTATAGTAGTTGTTGTCCGCCAGGCTGGCTGAAACCAACCAAAGTTCTCCGACGCTGTACTCTAGCCTTTCAATGATAAAATACTTCTTACTAAAATTAGGTAATATAAAAATATTAAGTTAATTTCTGACTCGCAACCACGCTCTTATTCTACCTGAATTGCTGGCTGCCAGCTCCTTTATTACCTCTTGTCCTTAGCCCACGGATACTGTGACTACTCACCCACGGCTCTTAGACTTCAGACGAATCAAGCCATTGTCGGATTACGCTTTTTCGTGCTGGGTATTAATTTGAAGGATATTCTGATTCAGACTCCTTTCTAGAAGTGCGGATTCCGTAACAGCCTCATATCCGACACCATCCACCTCAAATAACCGCTCATGACCGAGACGGATCGGTCGACGATCCGCCCGCAGTGCTCTCGGCCTCTGAAAATACAACGACCACGGGAGAGCGCGAAACAATGTGAAATTCGGCAAAAACGGTTATTGCATTTATACGGAAATCGTACAACGCTAGATCAGGATCACTCAAGCAGACGTCTTTTTTACAACCGTTATTCTGCTCAAGTTCATATCGCTTGTTTTTGGAATTAGCGTCACTTGTAAGACTACTTCTTCCACTTGCAAGCGTGTATAGTGCAGCTTATAAAAAAAAGAAATAAGGGTAACCCAATTAGCTGTGGCTTCAACCTTATGTGTTGTAGCAGTCTTGTGTAATTGATGTTCAGTGTATCCAAGGATTCCCAGAGAGGATGGAATTTACTTTATGACTTATGGCCTTTGACTAACATTGGAACAGTTTGTTCGCTTAATGTTAAAATTTGGTATTGATTACATACTTTAATAATATTAATATATTAGAATATCTTGATAATCCATACTATTTTATGTTTAACATGAATATTTATTTTTCATCTAATTGGATCCTTTTATTTTTTTGTTAACTGGTTTTAATATCATGTTTTGATAATATGCTTTTTCAAGGTTTGGAATCTTTACTATGTAAATAAGTGAAGGTCTAGTATATAGATTAGGTATGATATATCTATTAAAAAAAAAAACAGTTCTTCAGTCGATTACTGAGGCAAATTACTGATGCGGGATATTTTATTAACATGCTCTGATGCATTTTTACTCAAAAGCAGTACATTTCAATTCAAGTTTAATAGACACACAATCACAGAATGGAAATAATCATAATAATACCGTTTAACAACCGTTAAGCGAATTTAAACCAAACAGGTAAACGTAGTAGTTTTGTGCCCACATTACCCGATCGATAAAATATATAAGATAATAGAAATCTGTTGATTCACCTCTATATTTATTATTAATTCAATTTGATACAAATTATCTATGGGGTTCATATCTACTGATTGTGGCGGTATTTTAAATTGATTGTGGACATGATAAAGCAGCAGCTTCTGAACTATATGCGCAGTATGCTACCGAAACACAAGTAGAAGTTCGAATTTTCTGTTCGCAAAATGTCCATATAACGTTTCTTATTCATATTTCTTTAAATTAATTCTATAATTTAAAATATAATAGTATATTTACTGAAATGAAAAAATGGCTTCTTATATATCGTATTTGGATTAGCGAATTATTTGTGCTGATGTCATGCAAAATATTTGTGCCTTTTGATAAAAAGTACTTCTGATATCGCAAATTTACCCCTACTTTTTACAAGAGCTTAATTGATTTGTTAATTTTCGTACAAGCTATATGGACACCGAAGACAATAAAGTCCAAAAAAAGCAATACTCAGCTTAAAGCTATGTCCTCTATATTTTAAGTTACACATGGATAAATTTTCATCCACTAACTTCAAAGAGGAATAATCACCATGGTTATTGGAATGGTTGAAGAACGATTTGATTCAGAAACTGTTATAAATATTGTACTACAAATTATTTTTTGTGAAATAAATATATGATGTTTTTTGCTTTTCTTAGTTCATTTCTCGTAGGCCGTTACAACATATATATTTATAGAATTTCACTGCTGTTGCTTTCGAGGTGTTGCTAAATTTGTTATTGGCTATTTGCAGGCCAAAGATAGGATAATACCTCTTCTGCTACATTAGTATACAGTCATACTACGAGCTTGTATTTATTTATAACACTGATTAGACTTAAGGGCATAGTATCACATAGATACAAGCACAACAAATTTATCATATATTATATATATATGTATATATATATATATATATTTCTTTTTAGATTGGTCATCAACGAATTTACCTGTATGAAGCTGTATGTCGTCTTATGGCCGGAGTGGCACCTGGACCTACACAACAACTTTTGGATCGCAGTTTGCGGCATAGAACTCTTAGATCATCCGTTATATGTGGAGGAAAAGATAAAAGCAATAACTGTGTAGGATTTCAACGTGAAAGAGCGACTGCAATTTATATTGCATGTAAGTATTTACCTAATGCGTTAATTTGTTCTCCCGGAGAACGAGTTGGAATGTTAGCAGAAGCTGCCAAAACTCTAGAAAAGCTTGGCGACAGGAGAAAACTAAATGATTGTTATAAGTTAATTAAATTTTTTGATAATAGCATCGATGTAATCGATTAAATTTACTTATTAATTATCTCGCAAATATATTAGTATTGCCGTTTTTATAGATATAAAAATTAATTTTCATCTGTTTAATTTACTAATATTAGGTAAGTATTGTATAAGCAGACACTCTTAACTTATATTAATTTAACATAAAACATTGAAAACTTTACTTGGATGAATTATAACAAATGTAGATTTGAATGGTTATCCGCCATTAATAGGTTGCCAAATTTTCGTCTTCATAAGATCGTCATTTAAATCGGTTTTCGTTAAAACAGAGACGCAGAAGGTTCGATAAAAATGTATTAAATGATTATACCAATGTATATTTTTCTTAGTTTTACAAGTCACATCAGAGACAATACTATTTCACATTCATGAATGGGAGTGATGAAATATTATTCATGATAATATAAATGTAAAGGAAATGTGTAAGCTTACTGAGAAGTTGACGCTAAACCACATTGTGATCAAAAAACTTGCTAAATTTCATTAAAATATCACAAATAATGTATAAAGAAGTTTGTAAATGGTCCAAAACAATTTCCTTTTAATACCGAAAAACCTGTAATGATGGAAATCGTGGTATGGGGGTGTTCTTTCTGGTCTGGCGTGGGGCCTGTATTTTATATTAAGGAAAATATGGGATATACCTAAGTCCTACGTCCAAATACCTGAAACTACGGAATACTTCAGATTTAATTCCCATAGAAAGTTGTCGAGGAATGCTTAGATCTAAGGAAACTAAAAAACAAGTTCGCATGCAGAGAACGTATATTATAGAGAAGCTTCACGATGCAGAGAACGTAAAAATATTTCAGGGCAACTCGATGAGCGTGTCTTACCGTAGCTAGCTCGGAAGGAAAAATTTTAATAGTGGCGCGTGAACAGAGCTGAGCATTGAATGAAAAATATGCTCCGAAATATTCATTGCCATTACAGCGTATTTATGTTAGCTTTTGGCTAAATTTTTTTTATATATTTATATGCAATCATATGTACGAATATTGATATGAAATTCGTTTTGTAAATATCTATGATAATATCCATAATTGATTACATTTTAACTAATATACTATTTCAAAACAATATTTGTAGTCCATGTGAAAATAAGACCTCATTTTTTAATATTTCTTATGTTTGATAATTTGTAATGGATTTAGACATATTTGCCGTACCAAACGCTGCAAGCCGTTCTAGATGAACCACCTTCATTTTATTCCTTGCTCTTCCAATGGTCTGTATGCGATACACTACATCGTTGAGTTGTTTAATAACCTAGTATGCTCGTTCCCAATTGCACTGTAATTTGGGATATAATCCTTTCTTTCGTTATGGGTTACATAACAATACCCAATCGCCTTCAATAAAACCTTCAGAGTTCATTGCCTTGTCGTATTTTGCATTAATTTTATCGCTCATAATTTTGGTGCGCTGTCTCACCATAGCATGTATATCCCTCATCTCATCTTCTACGATGCTATTGAATTCCTTAGCATTCCTTCCTCCGTTGGAGTGATTTCCAAATTTTAAATCAATCGGTAGTCGAAGATCATTACCAAAAATTACGCTTGCCGGAGTCTGCCCCGTTGTTTCATGTACAGCAGATCAATAAGCCATAAGGAACAAGGATATATGGGTATCCCATTCTTTTTGATATTTGTCCACAATTTTTCTCAAATGTTCTTCCAAAGTTCGATTGAATCGTTCTACCATGCCATCGGACTCCAGATGTAGTGCAATTGTACGGGTTTTCCGGATACCCAGCTTCTGGCATATCTCCTGTATTAGAGCTGATTCGAATTTTTTCCTTGGTCAGAATGTAATTCTATTGGAACACCATATCTCGATACCCAATTGTTGATGAATACATCTGCTACTGTTCCTGCCTCTTGGTTAGGAATTGCGTATACCTCTGGCCATTTGTTGAATAGTCCATGAATACCGAAACATATCTGTTTCCTAATTTACTGATAGGATATGGACCAACTACATTAATGGCTACTCGCTCAAACGGCGCACCTGAATTGTACTGCTTCATCTGACTATGACTCCTGGACCGCGGCCCATTGCTGCTAGCACTCGACACAATTGACGATCCACTCCGTAACTGATTGACGACAACCAACCCAATAAAATCTTTGTTTTAATTTCTCCAAGGTTTTAGTGATACCCATGTGTCCTCCACTTGGACCGTTGTGCAGCTTGTTGAGAACTTCGGGAATTCTTACTTTTGGAACAATCATCAAAACTCATGAACTTTGCCCATCTTCGCTTTCCCATACCCGATGCAAGCAGCCAGACACTAATTTCAAACTATTCCATTGTGCCCAATAAGCCTTTGCGACTGGGCTTTCTGCAGCTATTTCTTCTCTCGTTGGACGTTTATTCATCTCCAATCCATGTATTACACTTTTCAAATCTGAATCCTCTTGCTGACATTTCCACAGCTTCTCCGGATCCCAGTCTGATATTATAGTCATTAATCGGACATCTTAATGTCTTCTTTGGCCTCAGTTTTTCGTTTTCGTCCAACAGGGTTATTGGGCTTGTTACAGTTGCGTGCAATATGGCCACTTTTTCCGCAGTTGAAGCATTTAAGCACACCAACATTTCATTGCATGTTGTCATTTTTTTTAAGTAATTGGTTCACCCAAGAGTTCCTCTATTTCTACTTTGTGAGCTTTAATTGTTTGATTGCAAAGTAGAGATGCAGTTTCCTGTGTCAGAGCATAAGAAACTGTTTCTGCAAACGTTAATTTTGGACATTTGAATTTTCGTGTCCTCGATGTATTCCATGGACTTATGTGCATAAACTAAGTGAGCTAACCTCTTAAGCTCTGTAGCAAACTCCTGCCACGACTCATTGGCCTTCTGGCGGCGATTTCTCAACTCCATTTGAAAGATCTGCTTCCTGTCCTCACTACCATACCGTCTTTCTAATGCACCCATCAACGTTTCATAACTACTCGCCTCGCAGTTTGGAATGTCTGCAATATCTCCCGTGCACATCGTTTTAATATAACGAATAATGCAGCTACTTTATCCTCAGCATTCCAATAATTTGAAGATGCCGTATTTTGGAATTGAAGCTTAAAAACGTGGAACGGAACAGTGCCATCAAAGGATGGAGATTTTACCTTGGCAGAAGCTGTTTACACAATTGGCCGATTTAATTGTAGCTCGCGGAGACGATCTTTTAATTCATCCATTTCAGTTTTAATTTTATCCCGTTGAAAAAGGAGCTGGAGCAACGTGGTTTGGCGACAAATGAATTAAAAACTGAATTATAATCACGGTTGAGAGAGGCCATGAAGGCGAAAAACATTAATGTTGAGGAATATATCTTTCACATGGAATTAGAAGAAGAGACAACAAAGATAGAAGAAAAGGAAGAGGCTCAATGCTCGTCAAAGATTGTGGACATAAACATGGTTTTTGCTGCAATATCGCAAATGTCGACACAATTTAAAGAGCAGGATGCACGTATAACCCAACAAATAGCAGAGGTGTCATCACAAATGTTGACACAACAATCCCAATTGTCCTCGTTAGAAACGCGGTTGGAAGAGCAGTTCGCAGCGCAAGATGCACGTATATCAGCACACAACTCACAGTTGGAAGTGGAGGAAGCGTGTGAACCGGGGTCTTCACAGTATGAAGAGCAAGAAGCTTGTATACCAGCACAAGTGTCCGCGCAGTCGGAAGAACTGAACGGGTGCATGTCAGCGCAGGTGTTCTCGCAGTCGGAAGAGAAGGAAACGTGTGTACCAGTACAAGGGTCCCCACAGTCGAAAGAGCTGGAACTGCGTATGTCAGGGCAGGTGTTCTCACAGTTGTAAGAGGAGGAAGCGTGTGGACCAGTAAAAGGTTCCTCACAGTTAGAAGAGCAAGAAGCTTGGATACCAGCACAAGTGTCCTTACAGTTGGAAGAGCAGGAAGCGTGTATACCATCACAGGTGGAAGATCAGAATAAAATTGAACCTGAAATGGATGAATCTTTGCAAGAAGATCCAGAATTGAAAGGTGCATTACATGAAGTGGAGTTGAACCAATGTACAACGATTGGAGAAATAACTACAGGAAGGCCAGTCACAAAATCATATTGGGCAGAACGGCACAGTTTAAAGTTAGTGTATGGCTGCTTGCATCGAGTATGGAAAAGCGAAAATGGGCAAACCTTCCGAGTACTTATGGTTGTTCTAAGGGTTGGAACTCCTGATGTTCTTAACGTGCAGTACATATGTCCAAGAGGAGGGCACCTGAGAGACATGAAATCCTTGGAGAATTTGAAGCAAAGATTTTATTGGACTGGTTGTCAATTAGCTATAGAAAGGATTGCGAAATATGCTGAGAACATTGTAGCTAAAGGATCAT